TGCTTAGCAACTGTTTAAAGTTAAAACCTACCTGAAAAAAGGGACTTACGATCAGGATCCTAAATTCCAACTGTCATTCTCCTCCCCTCTCCCCCCCCCCGATCACATAACCACCCTTCAGCACTTGGTCACATTTACAACGGTTTGCAACATCCTGTGGTCCTGTGACCAGTTTTTTTATGATGATTTTGCTGAAAACTAGCACTTTGATTTTTGACAAAACTGCATCATATTGAACAATGCTTTTGCACTTATAAACACCAGAAAAAAACATAGTAAAATCAGGTTGGTTACATGATGACTCATTTTATGACAGTTACAAATTATGACTGTAATGGCAGTCTGCATCCATAATGACTATAACTCAAGGACTACGTGTATTAGATACCTTACTTGTCAAAGCAACTCTAGATAATACATAATTAAAACAGGACAGGAATATCCATTAGAATTACAAAAAGTGATTACAGAAAGAAGAAAGTGTTTGTCTGTTTATCACATTTTCCAACAGTTACTCTAAACAAGTGAAGGGATGATGCCCATTAAAATATATTCCAAGTAAGCCTTGAATCAAATATTGCATATTTATTGTATGTTTTCAACCATGAAGCTCTCTCTTACGTACAGGCAATGCAACTTACTTTTCTGTGAAATTCAAGAAGAAGCCTGAGTCAACAAGTATTTTGTTGACGGTTGCCTAAATAATTTAGTACATGTAATTTCAGGTACAAGTAATATTTCTGAGCACTCCTAAAAAAGAATTCTGGAGCATAAAGGAAGGTTGGTACTGGTATTCGGTTACAATCTCAGTGGTAACTTAAGTTACAGATTTAATGACAATCATGGAGATTTCATTATTTTTGAAGAATATGAGTTTTGCAATGATGCAGGTACCATTTATTGAAAATAATTTATTTTGAATCACTGCTTAATTGAGATGGAAGGAGGATTTCTCTCATCAACAGTTAGGCCATCCTCTAATTTGGAAAAGGAACATTTTATAAAACTAGAAGTGAATAAAATAATTTCTAGACATTACCATCTTCGGTGCAGATTCCTTTGTATTTCACAATGTTTTCATGATAAAGGTTCCTTAGAATTTCAATTTCCTTCTTAAGATCAGCAATATGATTCCCGCCGCAATCAGGTTTCAGTGATTTTACAGCTACTTGTTCTCCTGTGTTATCACCTTCAGGGTCATACCTGCAGAGTTCAACTTTGCCAAAATGGCCCTGGTTTCACAAGGGAAATAAATATTGATTCGGAATATATTTTATGCCCATCTGTTCAAGATAGTTACAAGTTATTGTGACAATAGTCCATAAATAGTCTTTGTTATTTAAAATAGTCATATAAAAATTACCCCCTTTACTCCATGTGGATGTTGTAACTTGCCCAATCCTTTCTGGTTTTCTATCTAATAAATCCTTCTGGGCATTTCATACCATGGTTTATTTTCACAAAACTGCTTTGCAAATATAACAGTTCCCTTACTTATCAATAAGTAGATGGTAAAATGTTCAGAGACTTTTGAGCCCTCCATAACCATCTCCAATAATATTCTTCTTTGCTCTCACAAACGTTTACAAGAACTATCTATATTATTTATAATCACATTTGTCACAGGGAACGTTCTGTACTTGGCCTACTCATAAAAGATGTAGACAAGTCATTTCCAAACAAGATTGATTCTATTAGAGAAGACTTTTTGGAAGTAGTAGGAACTAATATAGCATACTAATTATAGTAAAAGTAAAATGTAGCTACATTTTTTCAAATACCTGTTACAAGCTCAAAGGAACAGACTATCCTTACTGTTTCGTATTACTGCTCACATACTATTAGTTTTAACAAAAATTCCAAAATAAAATCAATACAATAAATAAAATTACATTACATTTAAAAATTATATAACATAATATAAAATATAAAATAAAAACAGTGATACCCATTGTCATCAGGGCACTTGGTACCATGTCCAAGAATTTTATAAAACACATCAATAAATTGCAATTTTCTGCAATAACACCAGCGGAACTGCAAAAAACTGCACTACTCGGAACATCATATATTTTAAGAAGATACTTGGTTGATACTTACGATGCTGGCAGCAACCCATATCAACCATTAGCACCAGTCAATGGTATTTGTCATACATTTTTAAATGCTCAGTTGACCGAGTTTCATGTTTAATGAATAAAGTATATAGTAATAATAATAATAATACCTCTCCTAAATCACGGATCCGCTTCAAGAAACGCTTTTCAAATATTGTAGGATCAATCTCTGCATTAGGCTTCTTCTCTGAGACAATATCAGGATCTGACACAGAAAGAAATGTGTCTACATATATAATCACTCAGATTTCAAAAATTACTCCATATCCCATAGGCTGCTAGCTAGATGTACCACATTTACTTTACTGACACCTTTTGATACTCCCAGACAACCACAGCTACCAGGTTTTCTTATGTGATGGAAAACTGTTTTCAGAAGGAAGGCAGATAGTGTCAAGTGGGAAAGTAAAATTAGAAGCAAGCTAGTGATCAGAAACCATCAGCTCCTATCTGGCCTGGTAGGTTAAACTTTGTGTTCTTTTTCCAGAACTAACAGTCAAATTTATTGCAACAAAGTTAGTAGATAAGACACATTAAGTGTAATTGTAGTAGAAACATTCCAATGTTTCAAGCACTGGCAAAAGAGAGTAACAAAGGGAATTACTATATTCAGGCAAAGCTTATTGGAAGTGTTTATTTTTAAATTTCTGCAAGTTGCTTCCAGAACTGTTAAAATGTAGGAATTTACTCCATGGGAAATAAAATCCAAGTCTTGATATTACCCTTAATATAAGGGACTATTATACTTATACTTGTTGACATGTAGTGCTTTCTCTGGCTCTAAATAACTCTACGATAAGAATTTTTATTTTTTTCTTTGAATTCTGAGATGACATTTGCACATTTAGCTATGTTACAGACTACTACTGAGCCCAGGAGATATTATTTGCCCATCATTAATGGAAGGAAAAGGAAGAGTCCTTACTTTGCTCTTCTAGTTTATTGATATCCCGCATAATTGCTCTAAAGAACGGCCTCTGACTGGGGTCATAGTGCATGCACTGCTTCATCAGGTCAGCCAGCTCCTTGCACGATGGGGCTGGAAGTATGAAGTGACCTTCATAAAACCTTTCCTTCTGCAAAAATGAAATGAAAGCAATGGCATTATTCATAGAACTAGGAAATAAACCTCTAAATAAAAATTCCACAAAAGATATCTACAAGTAATGTTTTCTGAAGCTTAACTCCTATCACAGCATTGAAGATATTTTTCACTGTAATCACCCACAAATGACTAAGTAAAGTTCCCTTCTAAAGTTGCCAATGAATACTCATTTTTCAATGTTGGCGAATACTATTATTGACAGAGATGATGGACATATTAACTAATGCTGTGAGATTGTAAAATCTATTACATTCTAGGAAAAGTTCACTTTTCCACTTGTGTTGCCGATTTTTGGTGGGAGAACTAAAAGGTGTTTCCACTCACTAAAGACAAACAGGAAAAGAGTTTCTTTTTCTTATTTCGATGGCAGCAAGTCACTAAGAAAAGAATGCCTGCTTGACTTTCCCAGAACCTCACCTCTGCTAAGGTTTTGTCCTTAAGTGGTACTTCTCCATTGTAGCAAATTTCCCATAAAGTGGTCCCAAAACTCCATTTATCTGCTGCCACACTTAGATTTTTGGAATCTTCCACACATTCTGGAGCCAGCCAAGGAATGCGCTCCACACATTCTTAAAGGAAAGAGTGAGAGAAATTTTGAAATGAATTTTTATCTAGTGGTACTCTGCCTCCCATAAATCTGATGTACCTGAACACTGGAGGGGCCTTGCTCTGGCACGATGCCACCCCCCCCCTCAGCTGTCCTTTAAGGCTAATATAAAGGTAAATATAAAAGTTCCCTCGCATATATGTTTTAGTAGTTCCTGACTCTAGGGAGCAGTGCTTATCTCTGTTTCAAAGACAAAGAACCAGCGCTGTCCGAAGACATCTCTGTGGTCATGTGGCTGGCATGACTAAATGCCAAAGGTGCACAGAACGCTGTTACCTTCCCACCAAAGGTGGTCCCTATTTTTCTACTTGCATTTTTACATGCTTTCGAACTGCTAGGTTACCAGAAGCTGGAACAAGTAACAGGGGCTCACTCCGTTATGCAGTGCTAGGCTGATATAGGAAGGGACAAAACCTCTGCGATTCTGGCACACAGAAACAACAGAGCATGTGCTTCTCCAGTGCCTTTATTACAGAAACATTCGTAGTAGCCACATCTTACCAGGGCCCAGGAGAATACCATTCCTCTTGCTACAACTCTATTGTAATGCACACTAGTAAAATCTATTAAAAGTTCACTGAATTCCACTTGTCCTGCCAATTTAGAGCAGGTTGCTGGGAAATTCTGCCCACTTTCCCCAGTTGGAACATGATTCAACTAGTGTCAGTGAGGAATAATAAAAGTTAGCTAAGGTAAAGGCTGAACCAGTTAGCACTGACATGTAGAAGTAGTATTTGTATTTCAATAAAATTAGAGGGTATTTTTCTTTAGTATCGCCATATGCACAAGTAGCTTTACCTTGTCTAGATAGCACTGTAACTGGAATTCCTGGATCACTTAGCTTTATGAAAGGTCCATGTTCATTTCCGATTCCTTCTCTTGCTAACAGTATATTTTTTGTGCATACATTTCCATGTACTAAGTTTTTGTCCTCCTGCATTACAGAGAGATTAATCAATATTTCAATCACATGTTAAATACTATTAGACAGCATGAAAAGGTGCTGAAAGTAACAAGTTCACAAAACACAATGGCTCGAATCCTAAGAGAAGTTATCTAATCACAATTCAAAGAAGGAATGTTTCCTATTTTCTTCTTTCACTGCTGATGATTTCAATGTTCAAGCCTCTATTGAAAAACTTTGGGAGAATCAAAAGTGCCAGTAAGGAGTAGGCAAAAGATATACAAAGCTATCTTTCTCACAACTTTAATTTATTTTAGGATCCAAGCAAACAATCCCTTTTTCAACATGGTACAACACCAGAAACACCAAACTGCACTATGAATGCAAAAAGTTGACTAAGGGTACTAAAGATTTATATTCTAGTTTTGAACTCAAGCACATCAAGAGCCATTCCTTCTGCAGCCAGAATTCCCCCATTCATATGCAATGTCTCCAAAATTTGCAGAGGTATTAAAAATTCCAACTTGACATTTCTAGACAAGGACTGAGCATGATCAGTGAGCCCAGAATGTTGGTTAAATATGGCAGGGCAAGCATAAGAAAGGAGGGGAACAGAATGTCTAAAAATCTTGGGGGGAGAAAAGGCAAAATTTGACCACCTTGTCTTTGTATCAACATTAAACACAAAACACAACTTACTATTTCATGACCTACTAAATGTAAGTTGCTAAAACCTGACAAGGCTTGCTTAGCAACTGTAAATGGGTAATGCATAATCCAAAACCAGGAGTCAGAACAACTATTGTTAGATGATATCTAGGACTTACCAGGTAGCTCAAGGCACTTGCCAACTGTTTTGCTACATTGAATTTCCAAGGTGTTGTAAGAGAATCACTCTTACGGTGCATAAAAAGATCCAGAGGTCCAAACTCAACTAATTCTTCCACCATAATGTCTACAGCCACAAGAAAAAGAATAGATTAAAAAATAGGGTTCATGTCATTCATCTTCAGTGCATTTTGGTTACGGAGAGAAATCACATGAAAGTGAACCCTCCGGAAAGTTTCTTTCTAAAATATATGACTCAGTGAGTAAACATTTTTGTTTAAATATTTGGGAAAGATGAGTGGGAAATTTCAAGGCAGAATTAGGATTGTAGTCAGTAGGCTGACTTGATCCCAAGGTTAAGTGGGGATTCCAATACCACCTATGTCTTTTGGAGACCCCCTTGCCTCCACAAACCTGAGTGGGCGCCAAATACTAATCATTGGGAAGGGGCAAAATTAAATTGATGACCTTTTGCAGTCATAAACTATCACTGTTTCATATAGCAATAGCACTTAAGACTTATATACCACTTCACAGTACTTTAGAGCCCTCTCTAAGCGGTTTACAGAGTCAGCCTATTGCCCCCAACAATCTGGGTCCTCATTTTACCCACCTCGGAAGGATGGAAGGCTGAGTCAACCTTGACCCTGGTGAGATTCAATCTGCCAAACTGCTGGCAGCCGGTGATCAGCAGAAGCAACCTGCAGTACTGTACTCTAACTACTGCACCACCGCGACACTAAATATATATACCTAATTAAGTCACTATTTGTATTTGAAAGATTGTATTTGGAGAATTTACTTACTTTCCACATCACGTACACAAACTCCATGAAGCAGGACAATATGCTTATGGGATATCTGCCTCATCATACTGGCTGTCTCAAAAAATGCCTGTTAAAACACACATATTTCAGGGGTGACATCAACAAAATTGAAAGAATGATCCAAACAGATTTATCATTTCTCCAATACCTTTATCAGCCCCTAACAATTTGGGAAAGCTCATACTTAGCTATTGTAACAGGAGACAGCCCCGTCTATAATACTAAAAGGTAGGATTCCTAGCACAAAGGCATCTAATGGAAGAGGAACATTTTGTTCTGCACTGATATAGGAAGCACTGAAAGGTTCTCACAAATTATGGATAGCTGTGCAATCCCACAAAAAGTCACAGCAACAGGTGCTCCATGTCTAACTCTCTCTCCCTCACCCACCTTCTGAGTCACCTTTTCCTCTTCAGAGCTGGCTAGCTGCACAACTCAACTGAATATATGGTTACACATGTCAAGGACAAAATGCTTGAAACAGTTTTCAGTTTATATTTATAGCTTTTTTGTTTCAAACCCCACATTAAAAGTATCATACAAAATAGAGGCGTCAATAATATCAGTAATATTTTTACATAGTAACCTTAGAGAAACCTACCAGGGAAATGTCTCTGTGGCTTGGATCCAAGACTTTCAGCAGAACTTTAATTTGTGCTTCTCCCTGATAACTTTCATCGTCGTTGTAGCTAAGAATCCCAGAGTAAATCTGTGTTCTAGTTCCTCTGCCCAGATGTTCACCCTAAAATACAAGATAAACCCCAAAACTGCAATCCGTATTGAATATGCAGGTTTGATTTTTGACTGCTAGTCCTGCAAAGGGGTGGGGGGATTAAACATTTCTTTTGCAAATGTCATAAATATTTATGCTAACAGTTATGCTAACTCTGGGAAATTTCTGAAGCATGAACTAGCCAAAAAGACAATGATAGGTTGGCATTATCAAGACATAAGCAGTTAACTGTAACAGAAATTGAAAGCTGCAAAACATCCCTATATATCTTATCTGTACTTAGCAATAGCGTGAATCTCATAGTATATACTTTTTTAATATGAATTCAATATTTTTTTTGTTTTGCTACAAAACAAACTTTCATAATTAATAGGAATAAACAGATTATGAACTGAGTTTTTCTACATTTTCTTAGACATCAGTGCAAGTCTTTGTGAAAGAATGCATTTATAAAATGTTAAAAGGTTTCATAATCACTTACTTGCTTTATTCCTTCTTTAAGTATTCGATGAAAACTCAGTTGACCTAAAGGACAAATTGGCTGCCACTCTTGGGACTTTTTTGTAGCTACTAGCAAATTGGAAATTTCTAGAAAGAAGAAGAAAACCTCTCACATAAATTTGAAGCAGATTGCCATCCAGATTTATTGCAGAACAAAATAATCCTTAATAATTCTTAACCATCCTTCAAATGATTGCCAGCATTGGATATTTTCCAAGTAAAGAAATACCAATATGTCTTAGGATCAAATCTATCCCACAGAAGGTAGATGTTGAATTTGATTTTTATTATGAAAATCAACTTTTAGTTACAAATTTTACTAAATAGTTTGTTGTAAATCACTGTCTCCTTCAGCGTAACTTCATATCTCAAGGCAGTTGTGGGATTAGTGCATTAAATGTCATGTCCAAAACAAATATACATGAATTTAAATCTGCAGTTGCTAACCAGAACACTTCTACCATAGAATAGCTGGTTTTTACTGAAATATTTCACACAGAAGATTCCCTTCATTCAACTGCACTCATACAAGCCTTTACTGTTCTGCTGAATGTATAGTCTATCCTTGTCTAAACAATACCAGAATTGCTGTTTAGCTTCACTGAACACAATGTAAAATATGTGTGGCTGAATTATTGTGTCTTTCCAAAGAATATCTCCTAAAACTTGTGATGTCTAGAAGGATCTGAATTTTACTGGGATCATTATTCTGTCTGTTAATATCAATTTAACATGCTAATTAATATTAAGGCACAGAAGTTTAGGCACTTTTGGGATTATTAGCTCCAGCTGCAAAACCAATATTTAATTAATTAATTAATTAATTTTATGCCAGGCATATCATAGGATGATTACCTATGTATAACATGTAATTTCTCTTTTCTATATTAAGTACATTCTTAGTATCCAATCCTGACCTTTAGCTCTGAGCAAACCTCAATTATTTTAAAGAGGACTGATTTGCTTGGGATTGAATAACCTTATTCTAAGAATACAAAGGCATCTATATTATTTATAATATCTATATAGTTGCAAAATATAGGATCCAGGTGGAATAATATATTTTGGTGAAAAAAATGTTAATATGAATACATAAAGCTAACTTAAAAAACATTACCTCTTGGTTTTGGCTGAACGGATCTCTTGAGAGTGAAGACTATTTCATCTGTTCTCAGGATCTGTCCTTTTAAGTGGTCCATCAACTCTTTAAGTGATTGGAAGAACTTATCAGATCCATGCAGGAGACATCCTTCCTTCTTCATTTCTATCTGGAAGTTCTTATACTGTTTGGGGAGATTCATTGAGAGCTTTGGAGAATGAAGGAAAAGAAAAAGAAAAGAAATCACTAAATGAATTCAGGTAACATGCTTGTGTCTGAAGAGAATGTAGTGAATGAAATAAAATCCAACTTGAGACGGATCAAGCAAACATTTGCAGTACCATCTGGTGAAATCATACTGACCATACTGGAAACCTTGATGAAACTCAATACAATACAATACAATAGCAGAGTTGGAAGGGACCTTGGAGGTCTTCTAGTCCAACCCCCTGCCTAGGCAGGAAACCCTATACCATTCCAGACAAATGGCTATCCAACATCTTCTTAAAGACTTGCAGTTGGGGCATTCACAACGTCTGGAGGCAAGCTGTTCCACTGATTAATTGTTCTGTCAGGAAATTTCCTCTCAGTTCTAAGTTGCTTCTCTCCTTGATTAGTTTCCACCCATTGCTTCTTGTTCTACCCTCAGGTGCCTTGGAGAATAGTTTGACTCCCTCTTCTTTGTGGCAACCCCTGAGATATTGGAACACTGCTATCATGTCTCCCCTAGTACTTCTTTTCATTAAACTAGACATACCCAGTTCTTGCCACTGTTCTTCATATGTTTTAGTCTCCAGTCCCTAATCATCTTTGTTGCTCTTCCCTGCACTCTTTCTAGAGTCTGCACATCTTTTCTACATCGTGGTGACCAAACCTGAATGCAGCATTCCAAGTGTGGCCTTACCAAGGCATTATAAAGTGGTGTTAAGACTTCACATGATCTTGATTCTATCCCTCTGTTTATGTAGCCTAGAATTGTGTTGGCTTTTTTGGCAGCTGCTGCACATGCCTGGCTCCTATTTAAATGGTTGTCCATTAGGTCTCCAAGATCCCTCTCACAGTTACTACTATTGAGCAAGGTACCACCTATACTGTACCTGTGCATTTTATTTTTCTTGCCTAAATGTAGAATATTACTCTTTTCACCATTGAATTTCATGTTATTAGATAGTGCCCAATGTTCACATTTGTCAAGATCCTTCTGTATCTTAAGCCTATCTTCTGGAGTGTTGACTATTCCTGCCAGCTTGGTGTCATCTGCAAATTTGATAGGTTCCCCATTTATTCCCTCATCCAAATCATTGTTGAAGATGTTGAAGAGTACTGGGCTTAAAACAGAGCCTTGGGGTACTCCACTGCATACTTCCCTCCATGTAGATGCAGCTCCATTGAGGACTACACGTTGAGTGCAGTTGGTCAGCCAGTTACGAATCCATCTGGTGGTGATGCTGTCCAACTCACATTCTTCTACTTTAACTAGTAGTAGGTTATGGTCTACCTTATCAAATGCCTTACTGAAGTCCAAGTAAACTATATTAACGGCATTCCTCTGGTCCGCTAATTTTGTCACTTTGTCAAAGAATGCAATAAGATTAGTCTGGTATGATCTATTTTTGACAAACCCATGTTGGCTTTTGGCTATTACTTTGTTTACTTCTAGGTGTTCGCTAATTCGTTGCTTGATTATCTTTTTTAGAATCTTTCCTGGTATTGAGGTCAGGCTGATAGGTCTATAGTTTCCTGGATCTATTTTTTTCCTTTTTTGAAGATGGAAACCACATCAGCTCTTTTCCAGTCCTCTGGCAGTTCCCCGGTGCTCCGGGATCTCTGAAAGATATAGTTCAGTGGTTCTGATATCTCACCTGCCAGTTCCTTCAGAACCCTGGGGTGTAATCCGTCTAGTCCTGGTGATTTGAACTCATCTAGGGTAGGCAGGTGCTAACTTACCATTTTCTTCCCTATTTCAATTTGTGTTCCTAATTTGATTTTTGTGGTGCTGTTTTTGATTGGTTGGACTGTTTTATCCCTTTGTGTAAAGACAGATGCAAAAAACGAGTTAAATAATTCTGCTTTCTCCCTGTTGCTTGTCACCTTCTTGCCACTTTCTCCCAGCAATGGACCAATTGTTTCCTTAACCTTTTTCTTGTTTTTAACATGTTGGAAGAAGCTTTTTTGTTGTTTTTTATTTTTGTGGCAAGCCTTTCTTCATTGTGAGCCTTAGTTTTCCTTACTTCATCTTTACAGGCTCAAGCTATTTGCTGATATTCTGCCTTAGTTATGTCTCCCTCTTTCCACTTTTTATACTTAACTTTTTTGTCTTTCAAAACTCAAACAGCTTAGACATAGACAAGACAGACATATTTAATGTGCTCCCAACAGATATTACACAAATGCCTATGTTTGCCTCACATTTGAATCCAGGTAATTACAAATGTGTTTTTTGTAATCAAATATCAAGCCCACCAGTAGTTTTAATATAAATCATAAATTAAGGTTCCAGATTACTATGGATGTCAGAGAATATATGATTCATTAGTGGAAATTTCAGTTTGTTCAAAACAGGGAAGCTAAACTAATTGTTGGGACTAGCCAATACATATATATTATACCAGTTCTTTGCTATGACATTGTTGCTAGTCCATTTCTAGCACAATTCAACATGCTGGATTTGACTTTTAATACTTCAATGGTTTAAGTATCTACATACTTTCTTCCTTGTGCACCTACTCAGATCTTGAAATCATATAATGAAGAGGTATTTTGTGGTATTTTTATTCTTAATTTTTTTAAAAAAATGTTATATATCACTTCTTTAAAAAAAAATGTTTTATTGCAACCTGCCCCAGAGAGCTTTATTCAAATAAATAGTTACCAAATCTCCAATTAATATATTAACAATATATACTTTCATTCCAGTAAGAATAAATAAAATCCATAAAAAGACTAACATTGGGAATCCCTGTCAATATTTATACCCTAATGAAAAAATAAGTAACAGAGCTTAAAATCTGTTTAAAATTGCCAGTTACCACCATAGAAACTGATAGGAAGCTTAGGTATTCCAGTTTGTAAGAAAGAAATTTCACACTCCTTTTTTTGAATCATTAATGGTAAGTGTATCACTTCTCAAGCCAATTCTTCAAAAGTTATATTGCCTAGATCAGGGGTCGGCAAACTTAAACGCTCAAAGAGACATTTGGACACGTTTCCCACAGAAAAGAAAACACTGGGAGCCACAAAGGTCCTAAACGGAAGCCTCCTGTTCAATTCTGGAGCTGACCAGAAGTTCAGTTCCCCCACCATAGAGTCTCTCCTAGCACAGCGTACTTTTTCCTCTACCTGTCCATAACCAAAAGCCCTATCAATTGTGGAGACAACTTGAAAACCCTCCCCTTGCCATAGAGTTTTCTCCCTGCGCACTGTGCTTCTCTCCCCCACCCCACAAGAAGCTCCTCTCAAAATTGTGGCACCGATTGGTGATGGAGCCGCAGCAGAGGGAGGAAAGAGCCACATGCAGCTCCAGACCGGCAGTTTGCTGACCCCTGGCCTAGATCAAAGGTATTTAAAGAGAAAATTACTGGGCTCCCATCATACCTCTGAATGTTCAGTACATATCACAGTCAAGAGAATGTTGTTGAAGTCTGTACAGCTCCATCTCAAAACATACGTCCCTTCTTCATTGCCTTCCTGTTTCAACTTATTAATAGCATATTCTGTGCTGAAAGATGTTTGAGAAAAGTGATTAAAGCTTACTAAATGGGAACAGTTGACCATTTCCTTGAAAACAGGCCCAGGAGGTGGTTGATTTAAGAGTTAATCCCCCCTCCCCCCCTCCACATGCATTCAGCTGCCCCTCCCCCATCCTATGATCATGATTTTACCTTGATGGCATTGTCATTTTATTGGATTAGGAATATTTATAGTTAATTGTTTTAATGTTTTTATGCATTAAGCAGCCCAGAATCACTTCATAGTGAGATGGGCGACAAATAAATGTAATGTAATAAAATAATTATAATGAATCTTTAAACTGTTCTTTGTTGTTAGAAATATAATGGCAGGGGAATAATATAGTTGAAATGTTGAGAGTTTGTTACAAGTTATAAAATGGCTCTTCCATAGCCAAATGAGCACAGTAGTTTGGTTTTCATGAACCCAAAGATTGAGAGGCTCAAGAGGGAAGCTAAAATAAAAATAACAAAACAATAAAATATTTTTTAAAGCAAGTGTTTTACAAATTATGACTGGTTACAAAAAATATATTTTTAGACCAGTTTCTGAAGAGAGATAGCTGTTTCAGGAAATGACAATTGGTGCCCCTTAGTTTTTGAATGAACTTAATTTTGCTTACTAAAAAAAACATAATATCTGCTTCTGAAGCTTTATAATATCTTGGGGGAAAGGGGGGAGAATGGCAAACCACAGATAGCTCAATTGAAGGTGGAATGAAGAGCCAAAAAGTAGACCAGCTCTTTGTAATATCTCTACAGACAAGGAGAAGACTTGAGATCACCCAAAAGTGTTTCAGACAGTTCCTTTTCACAAGGAGATAGCAAGATCGGTCTCCAGCTCTTGGAGTTGAGGAATTAACCATCATTGCTCAAACTGCAGTCAGTGCCTTTCAAAAGGACACTGGGTTCACATGCTTCCTTTTATAATTGCTTTTGGAAATTGCTCATTAATTGCTCTTTAGCAATTATGAGCCATTGGACTAACAGGTTTTGCAGCATCAGGTGAGTTTCTTTCAATCTTTAGCAAAATAACTTTTAAATACAAGTTTAAGGACTTAAACATATTTTTGAATAAACAGTAAAAGGACTATTAAAGTTTGATTTTGGAAAGTTGCAAATGGACTTAGGATCCATATGAGTTTGAAGTAAGATTTGGGGATTAATTTAGAATCCTTCTGGTGGGAAAATGCTTTTGTTATCAATTCTCTTTTTAAAAAACATGATCGGATGAGATCTTTAAGGCTGGACACTAGAAAGAATGAGGAGGAATTAAAGATTGTAATTAAAGGGAAAAAATTCTTAAATTTAACTAATTTGACTAATACAGAACGGAATAAATATTTTAACAGTGTCCGTCTCTATAGATAATGTTTAGAAAATATTATGGAAGACAAGCATGTTTACCAGACAAGAGTGAAACTGATCTGAAAGTGGATTTAAAAATGATATGCAACAAGAATGATATGGAAAATGATGCTATACTGGATATACAAAAACAGTTGATGTCTTAGTAATTAAAAGTGATACACAAATAACAAGCCAATATATAATATATATATTGTTTAGTAACTAACCAAATTGGGCCATGGCAGCCATTTTTAATATTGTGTTCTATCAGAGGTGGTGCGATATCTGTGCAAAGAAAATGATGGGCATCAGCAGTCAACCTGAAGTATCCATCCACCAAAGCAGAAAACGACAAAGCTTCTTCACATGAAGGCAGTTTAAATTCCTAGAGTAAAAAAAAAAGTCTGAATAGTTCTTCCACTTCAGGTAAGATACAATAATCAACTACTATAACTCCATCTACAGGGATAGTCAAAAACATTGGGCTGCTGAAACGAAGAGGCGGGCATGCTCTATCCAAGTACAGAAATTAACCTAGAATGGCAGTTAAGTCTATACCACGGTTGACAATGAGGTACAGGTAGTCCTCGAGTTATGACCACAATTGATCCAAACTTTATGTTGCTAAGTGTAACATTTGTTAAGTGAGTTTCCCCCTTTTACAACCTTTCTTGCCATGGTAGTTAAGTGAATCTGGATTCTTGTCAGAAGGTCACAAAAACTGATCACCTGACCCTGGGACACCGCAACCATCATAAATATGAACCAGTTGCCAAGCAACTGGATTTTGATCATATGACTATGACTTTCACACTTATACGATGGTCATAAGTGTGAAAGTCATA